AAATAAGACAAAAGGCACTTTAGAAAGGGTTAGAGCAGAATGAGATGAGCAGAGAAAGTAAGTAAATGAGCTTAATCAGTAAGTAAACAGCCTGATAGAGAAACAAAATACTTTACAGCAGATGATAAACTCTTTAGCCTCTCAAATCAGACTGATAAACAATCAACAGATACAATAATCAGTCAAACTTGATGATTCTAAGTATTTCACTAATGGAAAAGAACTGATATTTAAAAACTGACTCTTTTGAATGAAATACAAGTTAGATGTCAACACTGACCACTTTCCAACTGAAGAAAGCTGTATTACCTATATCAAAAACTGAACTGATGATAAAACTATCAGATACTTAACCTCAAGAATAAAGAAAAACTATCTTGAGAAGTTTGAAATAGCTGAAAAAGTGTTCAAATATCTATAAATAATATATAAAAATGTTAATAAGCTTGAGAATGCAAAAATAGAATATCAACATCTAATAATGAGAAATAAAGATGACTATTATATATTTGTGATCAAATTCTTGCACTTAACTGGTGAAGCTCAGGTCTATAAAAAAGATTATAAAGCAGACTTTCTTTATAAGATTTTCTTTGATCTTCAACTTATAATTGTAGCAGTCTGCATTAATTACAGCACTTTTCAAAAGGTTCAAGATATCTGTACCTGGGCTGCTCACTATATTAAGAGTATACTAGGTCACCACAATCAAATACTGCTTAGTTATGAAGGAACTTCAATAATTTGAAACAGCTATAGAGAAACTCTCATATCTCAGAATCATAAATCAACTCCAACTACATTAGCACAGATAACTGAAAATTAGAAGATGAATAGAAAATACTTCAATTGCTAAAGTCAAGATCATATAGCTTGAAATTACTCATGCAAGCAAGAGACAAAACTGAAGAAAGTAAATACTGAGACTACTATCATTAATTAAATCTGAGAAAAGTCTCTTTTTTAGGTATGATAGTTGCACTAGAAACTTTGAATGTGAATCAGTTAATAGGTAGAAATCTTTTTACTATACATATTAAAGTAGGTTTTAATGAATATGCTATTTCTACAAGAGCACTAGTAGATTTTAAAGCAAACTGCTATATTCTTATTGACATAAGTTTTGCATTCAAATATGTCAAAGTCTTAAGGGTAAACTCTGAGAAGCTGATAAAATACCACCAGATCATGAGATTCAATAGACAAAGAGGAAACTCAATCACAGAAATCATTTCTTTGCATCTGTGAATAGATGGCTGAAGGTTTCTCAATACATCAATGTTAATAATAAACCTGAGAAGCACTGATATGATTTTAAGATAATTCTGGCTAGTAAAGCAGGAAACATAGCTAGATATGAAGAATCAATGCCTAGTTTAACCAAGCACACAGACAATTGAGAATGAGATATCAGAAAAATGTAATATAATAATCTCAAGAAAGATTCTGAAGAGATTAGTAGTAAGGTCAAATTATCAACAAGATGTGAATCATAATAATAGACTTATCAATGAGGAATTCAAGTAGGAAGTTGCTGAAAGGCCTGTAAAAACTCAATGAAGAAATAAATCAGACAAACAGCAAAAAATGACATTTATTAAAAATGTGATCTTTTATTATCATGAAAGAAGTAGAAAGTCAGAGGTCTTTATTTCAAGTCTTTATGAGATAGATAGAATAATTGAGAAAAAAAAAATTATTATTGATGCAGAACTGAAGAATGAATAGATAATTAATGAACAGCTACCAGTAAACTATAAGAAATTTTATAATATTTCTCAAAGACTGCCTCTGATCAATTACCACTCTTTCAAAAGAATATAAACTATAAGATTAAGATTGAAGAAGAAGTTAATTCAAATAAAGCTATTGATTATACACTACTATATAGAATAAGCTTGAAGAAACTTGAAATTGTCAAGTAGTATCTTGAGATTAATCTAGAGAAAGGCTTTATCTCACTTGTAACTTCTTCATTTACTTCTTCAATTCTTATAGCTTATACTGCAGACAAGCTGAAGTTTTACATAAACTATTACTAGCTTAATGCAATATCAAAGAAGGATTGATACTCAATTCCACTAGTTGATAAGCTCATGAAGCAGTTATATAGAGCCAAGTTCTTTATCAAATTAGACATTCATCAAAGCTTCCATCAAATATACATGCACTCTGAGACTGAAGATCTGACTGCCTTTAAAATATATTATAAAATCTATAAGTATAAGGTCATATCTTTGATCTAATTAATTGCCTAGCAATCTTTTAATGCTTTGTGAATACTATCTTCTTTGATTACTTGAATCAGTTTATAACTACCTTTATGAATGATCTTCTTATTTACAGTAAAACTTTAAAAGAACACAAGGAGCATATCAAGAAGGTGTTAACTAGATTATAAAAAGCTGAACTATAAATAAGTATCTTAAAATATAATTTTTATATTCAATAGACAAAGTACTTAAGTTTTATTATTACTGATCAAGAAATCAAAGTAGACTCAGAAAAGATTGCAGTGATATCAAAATGAGTAATGTTTAGTATAGTCAAAGAAGTTCAATCCTTTTTAAGATTTTACAACTTCTATAGGTATTTTGTCAAGGATTACAGTCAGATTATAAAATCACTATTTAAGCTTATCTGAAAAAATTAATCTTTTAAGTGAAATGAGATCTGTCAGTATACTTTTGATCAAATGAAGAGAGCTATATCTGAAGCTTCTGTACTCTATCATTATGACTTAAATCAAAAGACTCAAGTGAAGACTGATATCTTAGATAATGCTATAGCTAATATCCTATTTCAGTTGTATGAGAATGAGTAGTGGTATTCAGCTGTCTTCTATTCTGCTACAAGAAGTAAAGCAGAGAGAAACTATAAGATTTATGATAAGAAAATACTAGTAATTATGAGGATATTGATAGAATGATATGCTGAGCTAAAAAACTTTTAGAGAATAAAGAGATTCAAGATCTTGACTAATTATAGAGCTATTGAATACTTTATGGTAACTAAGAATCTTAATGCTAGATAAGTATAATAAATAGAGTTTCTCTTCTAATTCTGCTTTCTAATTCAGTTTCAGCCAGAGTGTCAGAATATACTAGCAGACATGCTGAGTTAGCGAGAGGTTTAGAAAGATAGCAAAAGTATCTAAATGCAACTATTTCTCAAGTCAAAGAGAGTGAATCTAAAGATCATTAAGAAATTTGTTGAGATCAAGGCTCTAAATATATATACATATATTTTTGATAAAGTCAAGATAAGAAACAAAAAAGCAGAATTACTAAGACTAGAATGTGAGAAAGTATGATAGAGAGAACAGCACTGAGAGCTGATAGATAAACTTTTATATTTTGAAAAGTGTTTAGTGATATCAATTGAGAAAAATTCTACTCTCTGAGTACATCTTCTAAAAGAGATTCATAGGTAATCATCTACAGCACATTCTGAGAAAAGAAAGTTACACTTGCTAGTAAAGGCAAAATACTACTAAAATAACTGAATCAAAAATATTGATCAGTATGTAAACAATTGTCTAGTCTGCTGAAGAATGAAGATCTCTCAGAATAAAACTTCAGAACTATTGAAGCCACTATCAATTCTCAATAGAGTTTGACAGCATATTTCAATGAACTTCATGAATGACACTATAATAAAAAGAGACTATGATATAATATTGATAATTATCTGTCAACTAAGCAAGAAGTCTATATCTATTTCTATTAATAATAGTATAATAATTATTTCATAATTACTTTATAAATAAATACTTTATAAATATAAAAATTATCTAGCAACTATATTTAAAAATATATATATATAGAGTTTTTTTTGAATTTATTTTTTAGAAATTATTTTAATATTTATTAAAATAGTTTATCTAGTTGATAATCAAATATCTATCTTATTTATATCTAAATTATTTAAAGTTATAATATAATACTAAAATTAATTAGTTTTTTTATTCTTTTTAAAATAAATTTTTAAATAAAAATTTTTTTAAATATTAGATATAATAATAATATAATCATCAAATAAATTAAATTATATATATTAATTTTTTAAATAAATTTTTAATTTTATTATAATTAATAGCTTTAATATTATATTATTTATATTGATATATTTCATCACTATTATTAATTTATAAAAATATAATAACTATATAATAGAATTAATATTTTGATAAATAGTTATTATTTATTATTCATATATTTTTTTTATTAAAATTTAATTTTATTGAAATTATAAATATTATTAATATAAAATTTATATTAATTGAAGATAAATTTATAATAGTTAAATCAGTTAATAATAAAACTTATATTTTTATTTAATATCTATTTTAAATTTTCTTATAATTTAACAAATATTTGATAAATTAATACACTTATATCTTGCTCATAATAGAAGAAGAGATGTCAGAATTCATATGATAATAACTTAGTATTTGATTTATAATAGCTTCAATATATTTAATTGTAAAAGAATAAAAATTTTTATTTAATTGATAGATTTGCTTCTTGATTATTTTTTTTTTTTTTTTAACTATCACTCAATATTCAATTTATTGAAATTCTCATATTTCTTTGATCTTTTTCTCTTAATATACTTATATAGAGTTTTATATAGAATTTGAAATTTTCATACTATATCTATAATTTTTAAATTTGATTTTGATTTTATGATGTCTAATACTATTTGAATTTGATATTCTGAATATTTAATATTATTAGACATGGTGATAGTGGTTATTAATTTTTGAAGATTGGTGATGAATATACAAGAAAGAGATTTTTTGTTACAGTGATATTTTCTTTACAATGGGGCGCACTCACTAACTAATGGTGAGTGCGCGTGGCATGGTTAATGTGATGCGTCTTCCCTGGCAACCAGCACATGCTCTTCTTGCCCTCTTTAGTTAACAACCTCGCTAGCATCTTCTGCACATCTTCATTACTTTGCCTATTCCACTGAATATCTACCTGCCATGTATAATGGCCGATGACGAGATTCAGAGCTTGCGCCAGCTTTTGGAGGACGAGAAACGACGTCGGCAGGAAGCGGAGCAGGCTCAACGGGCCTCAGAACAAGCTCGACGGGAATTAGAAGAACAGATACGGCCCTTAACACTTTATGAATATCTTGATGCCTGCCACACTTATCTCTTTGGGGGTCTTCTCCCTGGCAAACCCGACCATTCAACCAAAGGGAATGCCGACAATGCTGATGGCAAACTTCGTCCTCATCGCATCCGAGAATGGCTTCCGTTTGCCGATGCACAGACAAAAATATGGGCCCGGTTGCTGAATGATGAGAATGAAAGTTTCGTTATGCAGCGCAAATTTGACTCCTTACATGCAATTATGGCTATGGGAAAGAAGACAAAAAAAAAACATTCACTCAGAAATCGACCTTCGCTATTTTCAACGGGATGCCATCACAGCGCCCGTAGGCTCGGTAATAGAGGTCTTCTTTGAGAATGAGCAACTCCGACAGTTATTTGGGCTTCAGGGACAGATTTCCTTTGAAAACCACGCAAATACACTTACCATCAGCGAGGAGGATGAGGGAGTTGTGGCGCGTCCATCAAAGCTCCGGAAAGGAACTGGAGGGGCTGCAACACCGACCAACCCTCCATCTTCCGCCCGACCTCTGGCAGATGAGTTTTGCATTTACAATAAAGGTGAGAATGTCAAAATTCCTGCCTTGATTGGTGAACTCAAGCCACCACACAAACTCCCACTGGCAATTATTCAAAATGGACTTCAAGATATGGAGCTTGCTGGGATAGTTGAGCGTCATCATGATGAGACAGAGGAAATTCGGCATCGTCGTTTAGTCGCTGCAGTCATCACCCAGGCGTTCTCTTACATGATCAAAGCCGGTGTTGAATACGGGTATGTGAGCACTGGCGAAACTTTTATTTTCCTTCACTTCAAAGCTGATGAACCAGGGACGGTTTATTATTATCTTTCAGTCCCCGAGCAAGATGTGGGCAAGAAAACTGGATTTACAGGGGAGGCCGATGATGATGACAACAGGTTACACATGACAGCAGTTGGGCAGGTTCTTGCATTTGCACTTCGAGCAATAAAGACTACCCCCCATGATCAAAAATGGAAAGACTGGGCCGCGACTCAGTTGAATATGTGGGTGGTTACAGAAGAAGATTTATATTTGCCAACGCCGGAAAAGGATGAGAAGCCTCCAACACCTTACAGGCCACTGAAAAGTGCTCAGATCTTTGTCAGGAATAGCCCTGTCCGCACCCGATCGAAGGCCGCCTGGTCGACCTGCAAACCAACATCTTTATCGCAGAAGAGCAGTGGGGAAGGTGACAACGATAGCGAGTCTGACCCTGATTCTCCTAGCCAAAGACCTCGCCGTCCTGCGGATGTCATGGTTGTGTTACCTCCGCCACCTAACCGAGTATCATCCTACAAGTGGCCCGTTTGTAAGGATGGAACTCGGCGATATTGCACGCAAAAGTGCTTGCTTGGTCTTTTGAATGGTGGGCCGCTGGATAGAGCCTGTCCAAATGCCAAAGAACATGGGACAGAAGTCCATAAGATCGACCATACCACTTTCCTCTCCCTCCTCATGGCACAGATACTACAAGAAATAGGAGATCCATGGACCCAGCCTCTGGGTTGCGAATCGTTGCATAGACACGGTGCTCGTGGTGCACTGTTTGAAGTTATTCTTTTTCAATATGGGTACACTCTTGTAGGAAAAGGCTTTCCTCCGGAGTTTGGTCACTACCTCAGGCATGAAAAGGCACTCTACAACCAGTTGCAGCCGATCCAAGGTGTGCATATTCCTGTATGTCTTGGCACAATCGATGTCTCTAAGCGGCCCATGTTCTACGATGGAATCGCAGACATTCCCCACTTTTTACTTCTCGCCCACGCAGGCATTGAAGTCTCAAAATGTGATGTTGCAGAGGCTCAAATTGTGTCTGCAGCATCGGAGGCATTGCAGGCCATTCATGCGCTGGGTGTACTCCACCATGATGCGGAAACAAGAAATATGTTTTGGAGTGTGGAAGGTGAGAATGTGCTGGTAATTGATTTTGAAAGAGCAGATATTCTTCGCCCTGAACGAGCGCCTTTAGGAAACACATCACCGAACCAGAAAAGAAAGAGGGGGTCCGAAAGTATGGGTGGAGAAACAAAGCTGGATGTGAGACAGAAGCAGATTGACGCTAAATTTGGGAGAGAGCTGAAGGCGATGGTGCAATCCTTGAATACCTACCTCAAGTCTTGATAGTGTTCATTAGAGCAAACAAAATGAGACACAAAGACATGCAAAGTATGGAGCCACGATGGGTATTTAACATGTTACATAGCGAAGATTCTAAACAATTGAATTTTACAACCTTGCGTCCACCGTCCCTGCGGGATCTCCTTTTCCACTGAAACGCATGTGGCCCGTCAGAGTAGTCAGTGAAGGCCGCTCGTCCTTCCACTCAACATGAAATTTTTTGACCAGCTCCTCGCAACCCGGGATCAGATCGCTCCGCAGTTGCCACGTAGGCCGCCGGGAATCCAGTATCTTGTTAACCACCCACTCCTCCTGTGTCGCACCGACGTGGCCAACCGAGATTTGAGGCCGACCCCCTGGATATGGAACTCATCACTAATGAATGGGGTGGACGATGCGGTTTTCTATGGTCACTCCCCATCTGGTCTCGGAGGACAATTAGCGAAGACCAGGGGGCTGAGGCATAGAAAGCTAGCCCTCCTCACAATTTGCTTCTGCTTCATCTTCCTTTTTCTCCTCACAAAGGCCACCCCAGCTTTGCAAACCATCCGACGCTACACTTCCATTATGAGTACCCGGACAACTCAAACTCATAAGATCAGGATGTCAGAGGCCGGCCCAGTGGAGCAGAGACGGAAATTATTCCTGCAATATAGAAGAGCCATGAAAAGCCATATTCTGGGCATTCAGGTAGCTTCATTTCTGGAACTTTCAAACTACATTTTCTAGATTGTTGAAATTTCCTTAGTTTGTAATCTTTTATATATTTAATTTCTTGCTAGACTTCTTTCTGACAGTCATACCTTTTTGACAATAGCTCCTTCTAAGTCATTAGCAGGCACTCCTCTCTTACTAATAATAAGATTATTCTATAAAGAGTAAAAATGTAAGTAAATTTGTTCTAAAACTAGGTATATGAGCAAGTGTCATAAAGTCTTCAAGAATGTTTTTTCTTTCTGGACTGCAAAAAGTTGCAGGCTATCATCTAATCTGATATTAATAATTATCAAGCATCTTGTAAATCAAGAGGGGGTAGTGATATATCTGTTGTAGATTAGTAAAAGCACTTAAATTGAATTTAAGAGTTGCATAGTTTGCTCTATTATTGATGATAAATTTTTATTTATATATAAAGTAAGATAATTAATTATTGATTATATGATGATATGAGATATTAGCACTGCATTTATTACTGTACTTTACATACTTTTTAAAAAGAGTCTCTTTCTGCCCATATCTCTTTTTAGATGATGCTTGATAATCTTTATATATCTTGAGAACTCTATAAGGATAGTGCTTCTCCTACTCATTATCAGTTGTGAATAAAGCTTTTAGATTAAAATTAAAACTTATATAATCTGTTCTTCTGAAAATAACTATGTATCAATTGAATTAAATGTTCAAAATAAAGTATTGACTGTAAATATCAATTAGAATATAAACCTGTACCTTGTTCTCATCAGTATATTCAACAATTTTATAAAAGAGATATTGTCTCTGCTGATATCTTCTCTGAACATTGGCCTGATGTGATAGTAATTATTTTTGACTATGATGTGACATTCAGACTCTGGCATTTGCTATAGAATCTGATGAAAAAGTGAGTTCAACCAGGTCTTAAAGTGAATGTGATTGATTATTTTCAAGGGTCAGCTGTGGCCATTCCATATTGACTATTAAAAGAGAGTGGAAGATCAGAAATGTAGATATACAGAGATATATATTTAAACTGAAGAGTATCTATGAGAAAGACTTTGCTTGCTTGCAAGCAAAGTGCATAATATTTATATAGCTTGAAAAGAGCAGATAAAGTGCAGATATATGTTTAGAATGAAGTGCACAAAACATGACCATTGCAAGCTCAAAAGTATTTTCCCTCTCAGACCTAGAAGTAGAATATAATCATAGCCATGTTTTTTGAAATCATGATTTCATCTATATCAACTTCTTCTCATTAGTCATCTATCATCATGTTAAAATTTTTTCTTCTGTATAATCTCAGAGTATTATAAATATAGAATATAATATCAAGACTCTCTATACCAGCTTTTTGTCCTCACACTGCTTACTATACTACTTATCAAAATATTTTAGAATCAGATTCTCTAGGTTCTCATACTCATTTACTAAAGCACTTATCTCTATACTGCTTATTAAAGCATTTTAGAATCAGCATCTTCTAGAGAATCAATATTATCTTAAAATTCAGCATTCAGAATCAGCACAGATCAGCACTTCTTAAAAATCAGTCCTTTAGTATCAGCATTTCTTGGAGGATAGAATCAGCACTTCATGAAGATTCAGATTACTGCATTACTAATTTCTCATTTCATAAAAAATTAAAGATAAAATCTATTACTACTTATTTATATATATAAATACTCTAAATTTTCAAAGTTTCTTTGAGAGATTCAGTGATTAGCTACTATTTAATTTTATATATATATTTCATTTATTATTATTTTCTTTTCTTTATAGTACTTACAGCATCTATATACCTACTCTTTTATAATCTTAAATAGAGCTTTTCATACTTTCTTTTAACACTTAGTTCATTCATCTTAATGTCCTCATATAGAATAAGAAAACTATATGCCAAAAAAAAAAAAAAAAAAAAAAAAAAAAAAAAAAAAAACTGTATATAATAACTTAAGTGCAAGATCAAATCTAGTCATGATGACTGCTGAAGCTGATTGTCACTGCAATTAATGAGTTCACAGTACCTATTTTAAGCACTTAGATAATTTCATTTTTAAAACTATAAAAGTTTTAAAAAGTTTTTTAAACTTCTGAATTTTTGAATTTTTTCACTTCTATATTTTTGATTTTTTATATACTTACATTTTTTACTAATCATCTCATTTAGCAATTACTTCTTTTTTTCTATTAACAAGCTCAATTTAGATATTTAGCTTTTATTTTTTTTAATAATATAATATGATAAATAAAGAGATTAATAGTATAAAATTAATACTATATAAATTTATCTCAATAAAGATTCAAAGTGAAGTTAAAGAATTTTTTAGATAATTTATGTGCTTTTAAAATATATAGTAGAGTGATCAGATTATATTTTCAATCATACAGTCAAAAAATGATACTTGTTAAAACTGTATTAAGAGAATGAATTCAAAAATAGCTCATAGAATACTAGCATTTTTCACTGAAAGTTTTATAAGTTTCTTTGATTGTGAACTATAAACACCTTTTCTTTCTCTCTCTGCTCTATAATCTTATGTACTCTATTATCTTATGATTTTTCACTCTTCATATCTGCTTAACTATAGTACTTTATGAACTTTTACTTTTTGTAGTTCTTTTTATTTCTTACAAAAGATCTTTTGTATTTTTATACAGTATGAGCATTCTGTTGATTATATTTTAGATGAGTTGAATAATTTTTTATTGCATGTTATATCACTTATATGTATTATATAGAATAGAGAAAATATGAATAAATCTGATATAATAGCAACACATTTAGAAGTGAGTTATCAACTTTTGATACAGTAGACATGACTGATAAACAGGTCATCTTATGTGTATATGATACACTATAGTTTTTTGAATAACTTGAAATAGCAGAAGCTGCAAAATTTTTAAATAAAGTAAAAGTCAATAAATTAAATTTCTTCTTATTTGTATTTTAGAGTTATGATGATTTGAATTCTCAAATAAATGTCTGCTTTGATCAGAAGTTGCCAGTGCAACTATTTTTAACCACAAGCTTTAATGACTATCTTCCTTAGTTCATTGCTTTATTGAATAAACTGTCTGTTAATATGATTAATTCTGCTCTATTGAGTATATTAGAAGCTAAAAATAATCTATATTTAAATCATAGTTCTTCTGTTATAATCAATATAAATATATCTATATCAGAAGCTAAAAATATCTTATTTGTATTTTTTATTAATTTTATTATTTCAGGGTCAGGAAAACTCTATAAAGAACAAGCATCTTCTAATGAAGATACTGACTTTTTCTCAACTTCATTGAAAGTTTCTTCAAATAAAAATCTACAATTAGTGAACAGTAGTGAACTAGCTATAAATCTTTCTATATCATTATCTGATTCTCCTTCACCTGCTACACAGATCTCAAAGAAAAATAATTATTATAAATTGAAATTAATATAATCTAAGATTATCAAGATGACACATACTGATATAAAAAAATTTTTGATAAAGTGTAGCCAGGTGAGCAAGCAGCTAGTGTCTACTAGACTTGAGAAATTGAGTATAATAACTAGTTCATCTCTAGCAAAGAATGCTCTTTGCAGGCTTTCTGAACCAGATCTTTAACAAGTCTTAGAAGTTGGTAAAAAGCTTATCAGAAATAACTTGACTGACTACCAAGACTCTTGCATATAGTATAAAAATAGCTTTTGACCTGAAAATGTCTTTAATCTTTCTATTTTAATAGATTTCTCAGCTGAGGAGAAGTTTTATCATGTCTTTCACTATACTAATATCCTAGTAAACTGGAGTTCAGATTAGAAATTATCACTTTATATCTTACATATCATATTATATCTTTTCTTTGAGTTCTTCATACAGGAAAAGCAAAATGATATGTATTTCAGAAGACTGGAAAACTATGATCAACATCATACTGTAACTCTCTATACTGATTATCTGCTGAAATACTTATATTCAGATAAAGAAGAGTTAATAAATGACTAGATAAAACAGGTATTTCAGAGGCAATTCTATAAGTAAAAAAGACAGGGTAGTTAATATTAGTAAACGATAGATATATTAAGTCTTGAGGCCCTTTTTGCCTATAAGAATATCCTGATTAGAGAATCATATGAGTTGCTTATATCATCTATTTTAATGTCCTCATATTGAAGGCTCATCCACTCTGTATAGTCAAAAACCACAGTAAATATTCTCTCTTAAAGCTCAATGCTATTATCAACTATATTATTAATATTCATTTTGATGTAATATATCTTTATCATGAGTTTGATGCCATAGTGAAATAGATTTTGCTGAGAAAAATTATTATTATTCAGCTTACAAAGTAGATTATCAATGATAGAATCTGCTGAGCAGCTATGACTAAGCTAATTCCTCAGCAAGCTGAAGAGCACTAGTAGCAAATTGATTTTATTTCTGTTTCTCAAAAACTTATCAAGAAGTTTATCACTGATTATCTGTAGTTTTCTACAAATAAAGTTGCAAGTAGTTTTATAGCATATAATAATATCAAATGAGGTTAGAAATATGAATTACTATTGATTTTTATATATTTTTACATTGTTTTAATTTGCCTTTCAGCAAAGTATAATAATTTTTCTATCTTTGTGCAAACTGTATCTCTTTATAATTATAATTACATTTACTATAGCTTTATCTCATGATGAAAAATGATTATTTGAATTATTAAATTTATTAAAACTAATTATAAAGTATTAATTATCTTTATAAAATAAAAAGATAGATATCTTTACAGTAATAATTATTGAAAATACTTTTTAAAAGTGTACTTCTGTCAAATATCATTTGAATATTTTTACTTCCGCATACTCAGACTATGATTTATAATTTAATTCATTTAAAACTTTAAAAATTTTTTAATTTAAATTTATAGAATCTTTAATTTTTTTATATAAAATTTAAAATAATTATATTTAAGTTTTTAATTATTATAGAAGAAAGGTTTTTTTTATTATATTTTATTAATAAAAATTTTTATTTTGATTTTATTTTATATTTTTTATA